AAGAGAATCTCCTCAAAGTCTGCATCCTCTCTGGTCTTAAGGGACAAGCTAGGCTCCAGTGTCCACCTAATGTTCTTTCCTGCTTTGCAGTATCTGGGGTGTTCACCACTCCAAGTGCCAGGACCACAAGGACAACACGGAGGATGGGGTCCTCTCTCAGCTGGAGACCTCAGCGGCACTTCTGACACTGGAATGATGGAGAAGGAAAGGGGAAGGATGTGCCTCATTTCATACTTAGACCTCAAATTCATCATGAGGTAATGGACAAGTGTTATCGCACAGATTTCTGGCCAAAAAGCAGGATGGGCAGGGCTGTGCCAGGTGAGACTAAGGTGGGGAGAGGAAAACTCTCAGGTACTTCATAGTTAATTTTACTGAAATAGATTCCAAGAAAATTGCCACAGAGGTAATGTTCCTCTCTTTTCATTCTTTCTCTGCTTCCCCACATCCTTTCTGCAGAGCATTTGAAGCCCCATGACACACTTCACTCCAGCATTCCTCACTGTAGTGCTTGGGAAATGAGGATCCAAAGCAGAGCTTGGCCACCAGAGGCAGAGAGACAAAGCACAGCCATGTGTTAAAAGCAGCGTTGGTCTACTCCTGCACCCACAGAGAGATGGAGAGACAGAAGCACAGCCAATTTACACAGTGAGTAACTTTTAACCCAGAAAACAGCAATGGAAAAACCACCACTCTACAAGAAAGAAAACACCTTGTTGAAATAAACACTGACAAGCATGTCTCTCATCAAAAGCTCTCAGCTTTACTCTTAGGACTGAAGCTCCTTGCCTACCTCATTAAAATTTGATGGCCATGGCCAGCGAGGTCGGACTCCACCTTTCCCCAGACTGTCAGGACTTGCTGCCATTCCTGGTCACTGAGCCCCATGGTTCACCAAAGACAGGTCCCGAGTGCTTCCTGCAGCCGTTTGCCTTTCCCCAAAGGGTAGCTGGAGAGCTCACCCATGGGATTTATAGCCCCTGCCCACAAACCTACACCTGTCAATCATCAGCTAGACTTCTTGCTCTCTTTCAGGCTTGTCTAACCTAATCAGCCTCTCTGTTTTTTTCTAGGAAGCTATTTTGGGTCAGGTACTATTGTGGGTGCCACTGATGGCATAATTTCTGCTTCTCGTATTGGACTGGCACATGTCCCACTCTAGACAGAAAGGGCACTGCCAGAATGCTGTGCCAGGAGCCTGTCCCAGGTTCCTAAGGACCCAGAGACAGTGTCAAGCTTTATGGCAGGAGATTTCTGAAGAGCCCAGTCATCTGCAAGGCCACCCTGCCTCCCTGTCCCCAGGCCTGCCAAGGGCAGGCAGGAGAAAAGGCCAGGACAGCCAGTAGCATTGACTCCATCACTTCAAAGGCCTTTCCTTTCCCATAATGATCTCACCATCCTTTTCTCCTGGGGTAACACACCACTTGTGACATGCCCTTACGAGATAACCATATTCAAAGCAGCCCTGTCATTTCCCCACCTGCTGCAGGAGGAGTGAGGGGATAAAAGCTGTATCGGAGCCAGTTCCCCCACATCTGCCTGCCAGGATCCTGCTGCCTGCTCTTCTGGGAAATACCTAGGATTAGCTGATGGTTGAGTCTGGATGTTAGAGCCAAGAGATGTACAACTGAGCCAGGAAGGTAATTTGCAGCAGACCAGAGACACAAGGACATAGCAAAGCTACATTCAACACCCACCCAACCAGCAGTTCTGCTCTCTGGCTACTTCTGTCAAGCCAAACAAATTTCAGTGTTGGAAGGAAAAGCCAGTGAGCTGACAAACCATGTGGATATGCTTTGGGAGGGCTCCTAAACTTTCTGTCAGGACTGGTAATGGCCTGGCACACCAGTGGGGTGACTGGTCCCTTCTGGGGGTGACTGCAGTCAGAGCATAGCCTGATAACAAAGCCCAGCCAGTACTGCTGTCCCAAACTGTGCACCTGGCTCTGGATGTTTCCAAGGAGAAGGCAGGCAAGAAATATCAACTAGAGGCTGAAGACCTGCCTTGGAATTCAGGAGAAGAGGATTCAACCTCACAGTGTCTAGCACAGTGCTGCAGGACCTGAGTTTCATCAGTGCCTCTGCACCCTTCCACTCCATACAGGTTCCCTGCTCCAGCCTTGCAAGGGGAGAGAAGTGCCCACATACAATGGGCAGCAAGGATGATGGAGGTACAGAGCCTCACATGCCTTAGAAACACAGAGGTTTAAAGGGAATGCTGTGGGTAAGAAGGGTGGCAAAAGCCCAGTGGAGGTGTCAGCTGGCATCCAAGCCTCGAGATAAGGACATTTTGGCCATTACATGTTGCAAGCTTCTGTCAGCCAAGTCAACTTGAGACTCTGAAATCCTCCCCTTCCATCTCCTCTATGCACTAGTTTGCTTCACGTCCAAAAATCTACATCCAACACTTCAATTTCAAGATTTCATCCGGATTTACCTGTGCAAACACCAGGTCACTACCAATTAGCCAAACTAAGCTAATCTTATGGAACAGAGGTTAGTACTCCTCCAATTCATTCCCTGTGCAGTTGTCCACAGCACAGGGCTGAAACAGGGGAGATTACATATCTGCAGCCTCACTGCCCATGTGCTCACAGCAGTAATGAAGCATTTGTATCCTTCCAGGCTTGGGCAGGATCCTGAACACTGACCTTACTGGTTTACACACCTTTCAGACACAACAGAAACGTGCTCCTGGTACATGAGAGGCTGCTGCTCATGCACCAAGCTCTGTATATTCCCCAAGCTGGAACTACGCAGTTGATGTAATAACTCCATTTGAAATCGGTCGACTCTTCACTCTCTGCAGCTTTCCCCAGGGCTGTGAAGCCAAAAGTCCTGGTATGGACATTAACATTAAATTGTCAGAATACTTAAAATGGGTATGAGATTCCATATTGCTTTTTTCTGCAAGCAAAGTAGTAATGAAATGAAATCATAAGCTTTTCTCCCTGGAGCTTAAATAAATAGTCTACAGAAATACTAGAAGCTTTATAGTGCACCAGACCACCCCTCAACCCCGCAGCCACGAAAAGGACACAACATTTTAGTATCTACAGTCCTCTTGTCTTCCCCATGGGGCAAAATCTATCACTTGCATAATCATCTGGATAAACACAAAGCACAGAGAGCCAGCACAGGGGCTGCCTCCTTTAAAACGTACCAGGTGACTGAATAGCCTGTTTCAAGCAGCTCTGCCTACACCGGGGCCGTGCCGGCACACGTGGCTGCGTCTCTGCCCCCACACCTGAAGCTGTCACTGAACCAGCAGCAATGGACCTCGGCTGCTTTTGGCCAGGCTTTGGGCACATTGCTGGCGCAGTGCGGCCGCTTTCACCCCACTGCAAAGCGCCTCGGACGGCGGTGCAGGAGCAGCCGCTGCTGGAG